AGTTTTTTTTAGCTAATTTGAGGTTGCGGAATCTGAAATTAACTTCACTTTTTCTTGGTTAGCTACCATTTTTGCTGTACAGAAATGTCTCATTTTTGGAAAAAAAAAAGAATTTTTTTCATTTGTTTTCTGTATATATGATATTGACTGATGGCAACATTATTCAAAATAGAATTGCAGAAACCTCTCAGTTTGCATTTAAATTGAGAAATACTATTTTTGCAATAACAATCAGATCCTAAGTCTTTAAAAATAATATGATTGAATATACCAAGACCAACAAGTATTTTCATCAAACCATTTAATAAACTAACAGCAGAAATAAAAGCTTTGTGAACATAAGAACTATGGTAAAAATTTTCTCTTTCTTGATTGTCTGTCATGTTCAATGTTATTTAAGTCCCTTTTGATACTCCAGCAGTATAATGTACAATGGAATAGGTGCATTCAATTAGGATGTCTTTAGTTGGAGTTTCTTTCCAATTGTGAAAACAAAATGCTCTCAATGTGCTTGGTTTCCTTCTGTAGAAGAAGATTTTAGGGTTCCATTTTTTTATGTCACCTTTTACTAGGTTTACTAAAATATATTACCGATAAAGATTATCAGTTAATTTGAATTGTTTCTGTATATATATTAACCGATGGCAATGTTTCTCAAAATAAAATCATAAAAATCTCTCAATTCATATTTAAACCAACAACCTGCTTATTGAGAAATACTATTTTTGCAATAACTATCAAACCTTAAGTCTTTAAAAATAAAATGATTGAATATACAAAGACCAACAAGTATTTTCATCAAATCATTTAATAAACTAAAAAAAAATAAACTAAAAGCAAAAATAAAAGCTTCGTGAACATAAGAAGCATGGTAAAATTCTTCTCTTTCTTAATTGTCTTTCATATTCAATGTTATTTAAGTCACTTTTGATACTCCAGCAGTATCATGTACAATGGAACAGGTGCATTCAATTGTGAACATCTTCAGTTGGAGTTTCTTTCCAACTGTGAAAACAGAATGCTCTCAATGTGCTTGGTTTCCTTCCGTAATGAAGTGATAAAGTGATAGGATAAATTTATGAACAATATCAAACAGAAGATTTTAGGGTTTCATTTATATATGTCACTTTGATATCACCTTAATTATCAGGTTTACTAAAGTGTATTACTGATAAAGTTTATCACTTAATTTGAATTTTGCCAATAAATTGGAATAATTTGGTACTTCTATTTCAAAATTTTTGAATCAAAAACACTTTTTTCTTATAAAAATAGTTTATTTCAGGTGGCTGATCTAAATTTCTCTGCTTACCTGAAAATTGATGGGTTTCTATAAGACATTTATGAACTAAATTTTGCGATCAGCCAATCATAAATTGAACTTCTTTCAAAAAATGAACAATTTCAGTACAGCAAAAATGGTAGCTAACCAAGAAAAACTAAGGTAATTTCCAGAATCAGTACCATCAAATTTGCTAAAAAATGTGTTTTGTTTCTTGACACCAAAAATCATGTCAAAAAAACTTAATGTCTATATTCCAAACAATAACAGAATCAAAATAAAGAAAACATGGTCTAATGCCTGATAAATAACTCATAAGTCAAAAATGTGTAAAAAGTGTCTTTAGTTAAGTTAAATTCTTTGGGTAGTTTGCATAAAAATCTTTGTTTAGAAAAGACTTTTATTATTAGGAAAGATTCACTGATCATCTTTGTTGTTGCTGTTGGAGATGATTTGTTTGAAGTCACAGACATATGTTTCTTTCAGCATGTGCTGGAGGCAGATAGTTGCATCTCTGCTCTGAAAATTGAAACCTGTGGGGTTTTATAAGAAATTTAACCCAAAAATATGTTCAAGAAATGTATGGATTTAGTTTTCTCTGTTTAGTCAAATAATTCACATGGAGATGTTAATTTCTAATAGATACTTTGATTTAAATAGTGTATTTTGCATTGTGGAATCTTTTTGGCATGTTTGTAATATTGTCTATTAGTGGGTAGAAATTAAAATTTGGGCATATTTTAATATGGTATGTATGTGCACATGTAATTGTGTTTGAAATAGGGTTTATTTCCTGTAGTAGAACCTAAACTATTTGGTCTTTACCATTACTGTATATGAAGAAAATATAATTTGAGGATGTTGAGAGGAATGCTCTTATCAGATTTAGTTATGATGGTAGATCTTGCTAATAATAACAGCCTATGAAATTTCCAATTTTCAGAAAATGTGAAGGCGGCTTTTGATATTTCTTTATTGATCTGTATCCTTGAAATTCACTCTCCATACACATACGCACTCTCAGATATACAGATATTGTTGCATAAACACAGGTACAGATATTGTTGCATAAACATCTAGTTTGCTTTTAAAACTACAACTGGTGCATCTACAATGCATCCAGAGATTCTTGGTAAAATCCAAAGAATCAGCTGTATTATTGGTCCTGACCTGGCATCTTAGCCTCAATCACTTTACCCACCACTGTAAAATAGTTTCTCTTTGCTTCTTCTGTAAATATTTTCACAGTAATTATGTTGTGCATTTGAATCAACCCACAACAAAGAAAAAGGTGAGAAAAGTTTTTGAATATAAAATTTTCATAGCATGTATGAGTGTTAAAGTTCCTAATTTGTTAAGCTGAAAAAGAAAAGGTGAATTCTCCGCATGTACATGTGAGAAAAAGAGTCAAGGAAGAAAGTTACGAGGAAAATGTAAATGTCATGTAGCTTGGTGAGGAAAAGTGTAAATGTTATGTAGCTTGGTGACGAAGAATGTATGTGCGATGTAGCTCAGTGCGGAAGACAGGTGAATAAGTAAGGGAATCTCTGGTAAGCTATGGTGTTGTGAACTGATGTCATATGTTGCTGCTCTTCCTCCTTACTGGTTTTGTCCATCTAGAGACTTTACTTAAACATTCTTCAAAGGGATCCCAAAGCATGTTTTATTGATGGGGGGAATGCAATCCATTGGTTGAAAAATGTTAAATATTTATTTTCAAAGTATTAATTTATTAACTGGAAGAATGTGCATATCCTTTGAGTCAGAAACCATTTTTTTGTCATTTGATGCTGAGGTTTATTTCCATTTTCACTTCACAATTGTCCTGATGAGTTTGTCCTCTTTGGTATTTGGATTCATAAATTTAAGCATTGCTTGCTGTAACTGTAAGTTCCATGTTGATAGTTTCTTCATTGAGGAGAGTGGGAAAGAGAGGAAGAAAGAGGGATAAAGAGAGGGAAAGAGATAAATAGGGAAAGAGAGAGGGAGAAAGAGAGGAAGAGAGAGGGAAAGAGAAATAAATAGGGAAAGAGAGGAAGAGAGAGGGAAAGCGAGGGATAAATAGAGAAAGAGAGGGAGAAAGAGAGAAAGAGAGAGAAGAGAGAGAAAGAGAGAGAGGAAGAGAGAGAAAGAGAGAGATAAATAGAGAGAAAGAGAGGGAAGAGATAGGAAAGAGGGAAAGAGAGATAAATGGAGAAAGAGGAAGAAAGAGATAGGAAAAGCGAGAGATAAATAGGTAAAGAGAGGAAGAGAGAGAGAAAGAGAGATAAAGGGAGGAAGAGAGAAGGAGAAATAGGGAAAGAGATGGAGAAAAAGAAGAATAGAGAGGGAAAGAGAGAGATAAATAGCGAAAGAGAGGGAGAAATATGGAGAAGATAAACAAACAACTTTAAACAAGATAGCACCGATTCATAAATTCCTGAAACCCCCACACTTATACATCTAGGAGAGTGAGAAAGTGAGCAAGAGAATGAGAGAGGGAGAAAGAGGGGGGAGTAAAAAAGAGGAAGTAAGACAGAAAGAGAAAAGAAACAGTTTTATAGTACTGATTCATAAATTCCAACATTGAGAAGAGTGGCAAAGCAACCAAGAGAGTGGGAGAGAGAGAGAGAGAGAGAATGAAACATAAAATAAGAGAGAATGAAAGACAAAATGACACTGATTTGGAGATACTCGGATGCACACTGAGACACACAAATGCATTACAGAGAGAGAAATATAAAGGGAGAGAAAAAGAGAAAGAACAGAAGAAAGAGAGTCATCTTCAAGAAAGATTCCAGTGATTTTTACAAACTTAAATTCAACCCCCCACATGTACACATGCATTAATGAAAGTGAACAAAAGAAAGAAAGATAAAAAGGGGGGAAGACAGATAGAAACATAAAATGAGAGAGAAAAAGCAAGTTCTTTAAACATGATGCAACTGATTCATTATATTTAACTGCATTAAAGAGAGACAGATAAAAAAAGAGAATGATAAAGAGAGAGAGGAACAGGAGACAAAGAGAGACTTCTTTAAAATAATATGGATTAATACATATCCAAATTTATTCCTTCACATGCATTAAAGAGATAGGGGTAGAAAAAGAGAATGAAAGATAAAGAGAGATGAGTGGAGAAAGAGAACGAACAATAAAGAGAGAGAAGTGGAGAAAGAGAAGGAAAGATAAAGTGATAGGGGTGGAAAAAGAGAAGGAAAGATAAAGAGAGATGAGTGGAGAAAGAGAACGAACAATAAAAGAGAGAAGTGGAGAAAGAGAAGGAAAGATAAAGTGATAGGGTGGAAAAGAGAAGGAAAGATAAAGAGATGAGTGGAGAAAGAGAACGAACAATAAAGAGAGAGAAGTGGAGAAAGAGAAGGAAAGATAAAGTGATAGGGGTGGAAAAAGAGAAGGAAAGATAAAGAGAGATGAGTGGAGAAAGAGAACGAACAATAAAGAGAGAGAAGTGGAGAAAGAGAAGGAAAGATAAAGTGATAGGGGTGGAAAAAGAGAAGGAAAGATAAAGAGAGATGAGTGGAGAAAGAGAACGAACGATAAAAAGAGAGGAATGGAGAAAGAGGACGAACAATAAAGAGAGAGGAGTAGAGAGAGAGAAGGAAAGGTGAAGAGAGAAGGGTGGAGAAAGTGAAGAAAAGATGAAGAGAGATGAGTGAAGAAAGAAGAGGAAAGTTAAAGAGAGAAGGGTGGAGAAAATGAAGGAAAGATGAAGAGAGTGTTAGATGGAAAGGTAAATAAGGAAAGAGAAAAAAAGAAAAAAGAGAGGGGAAAAAGAGATAAAGAAAAAAAGAGAAAAATATTTACAAGATTTATACATAATCAAATTTACCCTCATACATAAACATACATTATAGAAAAAAAAGAGATATGAAGAGAGAGAGACAAACAAAGATAAAGAGAGTGAATGGAGAGAGATGAAATAAAATGATGATAAGTATGTACAAGATTTATACCTAACCAAATTTACCCTCACACATAGACATACATTAAAGCAAGAGAGAGAGAAAGGTAAAGATAAAGAGAGAGTGTGAAGAAAGATGAAGAAAAAGAGAGACAGGTATCTACAAGATTTGTACATAAGCATACATTATATAGAGAGAACGAAAAAAGAAGAGAGAGAAGGAAAAGTAAAAGAGAAAGGAAAACACAGATTTCTAAAAAATGTTATTGATTTATATATACCCAAATTCATCCCCCACATTCACACATATGAGGGAGAAAGAGAGGAAGGGAAGTTAAAGAGGGTGGGAGAGAAAGAGAGAGAAAGAAAGAGTTACTTCTACAAGATACTATTCATATATACCCAAATTTATAACTGCACATGAACATATATTAGAGAGAGAAGAGAGGTGGAGGAAAGATAAAGAGAGAGAGAGAGTGGGGGGGGAAGAGAAATAAATAAAAAGAGAGGCAGATTTCTACAAGATGTTATTTATTCATGCATATTCAGATTCAGTCCCCCCCCACCAGCACCACATACATATACATGAGAGAGAGAGAGAGAGAGAGAGAGAGAGAGAGAGAAGGAAAGATAAAAAAGAAGTTGAGAGAAAGAAAAAGGAGAGGATTTCTACAAAATGCTATTGATTTATACATATCCATGTTCTTCCTCATGCAAAAAGTATACATGAGAGAAAGAGAAAGAAAGATAAATAGCAGGAGGGAAGGAAGATAAAGATGGAAAGGAGAGAAAGGAAAAGAGAGAGAGAAAGAGAGATTTCTACAATATACTTTTGATTCATACATATCCCTATTCCCCCAACATTCACTGAAATTAAAGAGAGAAGAGTAGAGGAAGAGAGAAAAAAGAAGGAGAGAGTGAAGAAGAGAGGAAGAAGGAGAGAGAGTGAAGAAGAGAGGAAGAAGGAGAGAGAGTGAAGAAGAGAGGAAGAAGGAGAGAGAGTGAAGAAGAGAGGAAGAAGGAGAGAGTGTAAAGAGAGGAAGGAGGAAAGAGAATGAAGAAGAGAGGAAGAAGGAGAGAGTGAAGAAGAGAGGAAGAAGGAGAGAGTGAAGAAGAGAGGAAGAAGGAGAGAGAGTGAAGAAGAGAGGAAGAAGGAGAGAGTGAAGAAGAAGAGGGGAAGAAGGAGAGAGGTGAAGAGAGGAAGAAGGAGAGAGTGGAAGAGAGGAAGGAGGAGAGGAAGAGAGGAAGGAGAGAGAAGAAGAGAGGAAGAAGGAGAGAGAAGAAGAGAGAAAGGAGAGAGTGAAGAAGAGAGGAAGAAGGAGAGAGAGTGAAGAAGAGAGGAAGAAAAAGAGAGTGAAGAGAGGAAGAAGGAGAGAGAGTAAAGAAGAGAGGAAGAAGGAGAGAGTGTAAAGAGAGGAAGGAGAGAGTGAAGAAGAGAGGAAGAAGGAAAGAGAATGAAGAAGAGAGGAAGAAGGAGAATGAAGAAGAGAGGAAGAAGGAGAGAGTGTGAAGAAGAGAGGAAGAAGGAGAGAGAGTGAAGAGAGGAAGGAGGAGAGAGAGTGAAGAGAGGAAGGAGGAGAGAGAGTGAAGAGAGGAAGGAGGAGAGAGACTGAAGAGAGGAAGGAGAGAGTGAAGAAGAGAGGAAGAAGGAGAGAGAGTGAAGAGAGAAAGGAGAGAGTGAAGAAGAGAGGAAGAAGGAGAGAGAGTGAAGAAGAGAGGAAGAAGGAGAGAGTGAAGAAGAGAGGAAGAAGGAGAGAGAGCGTGAAGAAGAGAGGAAGAAGGAGAGAGAGTGAAGAAGAGAGGAAGAAAAAGAGAGGAAAAAGGAGAAGAGAGGAAGAGGAAAAAGAAGAGAAGAAGAAAAAAAGAGGAAAAAGAAGAAAGAGAAAAGAAGATGAGAGAGAGAGAAGGAAAGATGAAAAGGGGGGTAGAAAAGAGAAAAAGAAAGTGTGAGAAAACGATAGAGAGAGGAGATATTAGTAAACCTTTATCATAACTACTAAGCCAACCCGTTGATTTATTAAAGAATTTTAGCAGTTAATCCATCCACGTAAAGCACATGAGGTAAATATATTAAAGTGAAATTGGATTAATGTTTGCCTTGTTGAACTTTCTTAGTTAAATGAATTCTATTTTCTACAGCATTTCAGTGTGTAACTTTAAAATTTCTCAAAGGGTAAATCTATCATTATGCACATTAACAGAAAATAAATCCTTTATGTTGTATTCTTTAAAACAGTTCTTTGGATATTTTGACAGATATTTCTACTTCTAGATTGCCAGACTTTACTAGTTGCTCATGACCCTTACAGAATTCTATCAAATGCTGACTGTTTATTTTCCAGATATACCCATCTGTAAGAGTAGCTGTCTATTCTCTGCTGCAGAGTCAACCTGTATTTTATGCTACTACTATGCTACTATGATACTGTTATAAAATAAAATAAGACATATCTCAGCTGATTTACAGGCAAATACTCAAGAGTGAGAGCCGGATGTGAACTGGACAAAGCCCCGTCACAAAATGACCATTATCTTCATTTACAAATGTTCCCAACACACGCGTTCCGGTCGAAAAATAAAATAATATTTAAAGTGTTCCATTTTTTGTCCAATAAAAATACTTCCCTCCTAATTATACTCGCTTCGTTTTTCAAGCCTGTTAAGCCATAAAAAACGCTATAAAAGGGGTCACACGGAAGTTCAACAGGCAGTCCACAGGTGCCCAGGAGAGAGACCTGTCACAGTCAGTAGCTGTCAGCAGGGGAGCATCAACCACCGTCAACATGTGTGAACTACTATGAGAGATCGACCTAGATGCGAAGCCGGCTTATGAACTATACCACAAGGTAACTGTCCCAAACCATCATGTTCCTGTTGAAATAAACCACGTAAATCTAATTCTGCTGTTGTCATATTTCTTTCTTGCAACCATACGCTTGTCTATAACAATACTAAGCAAACTTTAGTTAAACTTTCTGGTAGAGAGAGCACAATCTAGAATGATCAGTAGCCAAACAAAACAGGAGTAAAAATGTTGTTAGTGTTTTAGCATTTTTAAATTTAAGAACACTTGTAAATATACTTCAGGCTAACTGAAAATCAAGGTAAATTATGGAAGATGCTAAGTGATGTAATTTGATGAGAAAGTAATTTATTTAGAAGGAAAATTCTTGAGAGAGTAGCTATCAAATCTTACCAAAATATTAATATGTGATTTTTTTTTCAAATATCTCCTTTACTAAAAGAAATAACATAAATGAATATAGAAAATTTAAAAAAGTTCAAAGTAACTGGTTTAATTAAAAAGCTTCTATGATTTAAAATGTATAATATATAAATTAAACTCAAAATAAAATAATAAATATAATAATTACATTAAAAAATTCAGCAATAACAACATTTACTTTTCTTCTTCTATGTTTTATATGCCTTTGGGATATAGGCAATCATGGCTCTCCACAATTTCCTATCTCTTGTAGTTCTCAAATAGGCATCTATGCAGACAACACTACCATTTACTCCTGTCTCAATAGGAAATCTGTCATTACTGACAAAATTAACCTTTACATGGTCTTGTAAAGAACCTCCAATCTGATTGACTGGGGCAGGAAATGACTTGCAAACTTTAATACCTCCAAAACTTAACTGCTCTCATTTACTCACCATAGGGAAACATCTCTGCCTCCTATCAGCAGGGCTGATGCTCAACTTCATGAGAGCGTCTCACTGCGCCTACTTGGTCACATGTTTTCCACTGAATTAAGGTGGAATAACTACACTGAATCAATAGCTACATCTACCGCAAGGAATGTTGGTTCTCTGTGCCGTCCCAGAATGTTTTTCTCATCTGAGTCCATCCTTCAAATTTACAAATCTACCATTCTTCATTGCATTGAATACTGTTGCCATATATGGTCTGGTGCCCCCACTATTCATTTGGAGGTCCTTGATGAAATACAATGACAGATATGCAATGTGATATGTCCTGATCTGGCATCTTAACTCCAGTCCCATTCTCACCGACGTTATGTGGCTTTCCTCTGTCTTCATTACAAATATTTTCATGGCAACTGCTCTGACGAGCTATTTTCACTGGTGCCCCAGTTGCATAAATTAAAGTGTGCTACTAGGTTGGCATCTCGGTCCCACCATTTTACTCTCAAAGCAATTAAATGTAACTGTCTCTTCTACTCCAACAGCTACTTCTCCTGCACTTCTTGACAATGGAACTCCCTTCCTCTTACTTGCTATAATCTTCAAAAATTTAAATGTAATGTTAATTGACATCTTCTGATGCCTTGACCATGATCACCATGCTTCTATTTATCCTTTGCTCAAACATCCCTCTTTACTCTTACTTTCGCTCTCTGTAAACCCTTGCATGCTAGTGGCACTCTCGCCTTGCTTGGGGTGAAATGCTTAAAAAAATCTCTTAATAAATTTTGTCTTTTTGTTATCTCTCATGCTCTGCCATCCACAAACTTAAGTTCATAAGTTATGCATTGATTTCCTCTGTCCCTCTTGTCACAAATCTATCCCATGAGTATCAAATTTTCCAAACTCATTATGTGCTCTAGAAATTTCAACTCTCTTCCTGATGTTAAGTATAAGTTTCCTTTTTGTTTTCCAAATTCTCTAAAACTTTGTCATTGCTCACCTGTTCAGTCCATGGAATCCATAGCATCCTTCTGTAGAACAACATTTCTGTTTCTTCTTCATCTGTGAAGTGATTCTCCAGCTTTTACTACCTTCACTTTCTTTTAATAGAGATTAAATTACATTAATTATTGTTTCCAGAGGAGGATGAATAATACACAACAGTTCGGTAGTCATTTCATTTGTTTCCAGAAGAGGATGGATATTACATAACAGTTCGGTAGTCTCCAGTGGACTGATATTATATAACAATTTCCGCTTAATCTGTGGAGAGATTGTCCAGCATTCTGTGGCATACAAGAGGATGAATATCACATAGCACTTCAGTGCACTTTTCTTTGTTTCTAATTAAGCTTTCCTATTTCTTAGTACTTTTGATCTTTTAGAATTCATTTTTTACTAATCAAATGCCTGTTCGGATTTCAGCCTTGCACTTTTCCTTCTTTGTTAAAACACTTCCCAGGGGTCATTCCAAAGTTGAAATTAGAGCAAGTTGAATAAAACTAAATCTGTGATTTAGAAAACTCTTCTCAACACAGAAAATGTCCCCGTCAGCTTCAAGTCAAAATGAAGATTAAATTTCATACTGAATGTCTTTGAAAAGATGTCTAAAGAAGTTTTCTTATTTTTTTTTTTTTTTACACAAATATTTTCTGAAAACTTGAAAGTTTATCTTGGAATAACTTTTATCAATAAGTTCTTGTGGCTTAATATATTTCATTATAAGAACAGCATTTGGGACAGGAATTAGACACAATTTAATGTGCGATTTTAAGAATAAAAATCTTCAAATTATGATGCTTTTAGCCTTTGTTTTTCCTTTGCCTCATGTTAACCTATTATGTTGGGCCAAAACTATGTTCTGCTTGTCAATGACTTGTATTGAGAGAGTTGAATTTTTAATGCACTTCATTCAAAAAGATAAATTTTGATTGAATTTTAACCACTCTAATATCAAGAACATTTTTTTAAAAATTCTCAAAATTTGTGTATATTGATTCTAAAATTGAAAATAATTGATATTAAATAACATTTCAGCACACTTTTTCTTTAATAAAGATAAAAATGCAATTAAAATACAATAAAAAAAATTGTGCAATATATGGATGTGCTGTGATGGATCAAACATGTCAAAAGTGATCAGTGATGTTTTTTTCTGCAGGTTTCTTAGTACGATAAAGATTAGCCCCATAGGGTTATTTTGGACTAAGTTGAATTACACCTGCATATATTCTGGGTGGGTTTAATCTGAGCTGCTACTCACATGGTCAGAATACTTTGTTTTGAGCTTCCATTAGGAGTGTTTAATTTTAACAAATTTAATTTAAAAAGATCAATTCTGACTGTATTGTGATAACTGCTGTGTGAGCATTTTAAAAGTATTTTACAAAGTTTCATGCTAGAGATTTTTTATTGAATAATGTTCCATTGTTGGGTAGATCATCTGAAGTTAAGAGCAATCAAGTCAAGACATTACTTGTGAATAATTATGTATTCTATGTAAATATCCACATCAAGTACCAACTTGCAAAAAAAACAAACAACTGAATTGGATTTAAATCCTCTATTTTAAAAACATATTGTGATGAGCAATGAACAGTGGATACATGAAAACAATGTGGAATGCAAGGCATTGTGAAGCAATTGAAATGAATCACTACTAACTAGGCCAGTATTCATACTGTGTAGATGCTAGGTTTGAAAAATTTTTTTTTCTGTTATGAGCTCCTTTCAGTGAACAAAACAATTGATTTGAACAGTGCTCCAAGTTCAGCCAACTGAAGAGAATAATTGATAAAATGCATCTGGAATTAGTTAATAGAAATAATTGTCTCTGCTTTGTTACACTGTTTTTTTTTCATATTCATTATGTGTTGCATTTTCAGATTATGATTCATTCCTGTCTACGTAGAAATCTCTCAATGAAATGATTTTCAATTCCTTGGAAGATTAGAAAGTCTCTGATAATTTAAAAGGATGAAATTCTAAAGGAAGTTGAAGTTGATTGAAAGATGGAAGATTATAATGGAAGAAAATGATAAAGATGTTTTTCAATAAAGTTAATAGCAAAAAGAAAAATGGTTCTTTCTAATTTACAGGGATGTGTAAGTGGTGTACTGTGATGTGGACTAATGGATAGTTGCTTGGAATGAGAAATTGGTCAGCTGTGTTGGAATTCTAATTGAATTTGTTACATTCATGTACACATAAAAAAAATACATTAGAAAAGGTATGAATCCATCTCTTCATGATTCCCCCAGCTATGGGTTAAATAGGTTATCCTTGGTTGGCTACTAGTTTAGGGGAAGGAAAACTCTGAATTCAAAACTGTATGAAGTTTTCCAAAAGATGAAAGAAGCTAATGAATCAAAATGGTAAATAAAATTCACACCCCAAAAAAATGTTCTTTTGAAATTATAAACAACATTTTTTGCAATAATGTTTACCCTGTACAAGGCCCCAAAACCACTTGAAGTAGAGGGTTACAGAGTAAGAGGTAAGGGGCACAGTTTATGAGGATATGTGATAAAAATAATGGTTGACCTGAGACTTGAAGAGGTTAAGACTGTAGTGATTGGGGAAGCATCCTTTTCGAAGTCAGTTCCACAAAGTAATGGTTCATGGGAAGTAACTCCTCAAGATGAACTTACATTTCACCAATGGAATATGAAGGGAATAACAGTAGTTCACTACATTTTGCATAGCATGGCAGGTTTTAGCTGCGAAGGTTAGTACTTGTGGAACTAAGCAATGTAGTACATTGAAACATTTTTGATTAACATTCCCTACTTTATTATATCATTTCTGTTATTGTAGAATGTATTGTGGATGTGCAAGTACTATAAGCGATAACAGCATATCAAATGGGATCAAGGAGTTGATTTAAAGTTCCAGGCAAGTCTCTTGTATTCACTATTGCCTGAATCCCCTTGGGAAAGGCATGGATCCATTCCTTTTCCCCTTTCGCCAGCTATGTACTAAATAGACTAGTCTTTAGTGGCAAAGATAAAATGCAACTAAAGTGAAAAAGCAGTGATTTGTGCAATTTATGAAGAAGGTGCTGTAACTAATCAAACATGTCAAAAGTGGTTTAGGATATTTCCAGCTGGAGATTTAATGAATAATGTTCCATAGTTAAAAAGTTAATAGCAATAAAGCAGTGCTTTGGACAAAGTATAAAAGATGTTACATTAAAATGCCCTTCCCTCATTATATCATTTCTGTTACTGCGAAATCTAAGAGATTCAGGAATGCAATTTTATACTGCAGAGCCTATCCAAGTGCCAACTGTGGAAGTGATCACCTCCCAGTTACATATAAACTCAGAATAAAACTATGGAAGTTGAAGAACCCTAAAACAGCACCCAAATTGCAATATGACAGACTCTTGAAGGATAGAAATATATGGACAGTGTTAAAAGCTGATACAAGGGACAAAATGAAAATGGAAACTTGAAGCGGGACATATTAAAAGAAGATTTAGTAACATCGGCAAATGTGATCATCCCAAAGGAAAATAGATGAAGAAGAAAAAATGAATGGATGACAGATGAGATTCTTCGTATAATGGAAAGGAGACAAAAAACTGAACAAAATATAGAAAACTACACAAAGAAATAAGAAACAAATGCAGACAAGCTAAAGAGAATGTGCAGAAGTAGAAAGAATGAATATCACAGATAATGCATGAAAAAATAAGAGAACAAGACAAATAACGAACTGCATAAAATCTAAGGTCAGAATGATGGTATTAGAGAAAGAAAAAATACTCCAGAGATGGAACAAATATATCAGAGAACTCTTCCACCATGAACGAGAACAGCTGGCAATAAACTGAAATATAGATGAACCGGAAATATTAAAAACCAAAGTGGAACCTGCACTGGCCAAATTGTACAGAAACAAAGCAACAGAGCCAGAGAGAATTGTAATAGTGATGTTTGAAGCCTTAGATGATTTCATGATAGACAAGATTACAGAAATAATAAATGAAATCTACAACAGTGGTGATATACCGGAAGATCTAAGCAGATCTATTTTCATAGGACTGCTTAAGAAACCAGGTGGAAATGAATGGGAATTCTGTCAGACAATCAGCCATATAACAAAACTCATCATCCGAATTCAGAAAAATAAAGCACACAACAGAAATCCGATTAAAAGTAGGACAAGAACAGTGAATGTTTTTCAAAGACACTGGAACAAGAATTTTTGGGAGATAACAATTTAGTGATACAGTCCTACAAAATTGTCAGGTCGATATATATCACTGTTCCTCTTGCCTTCAATCTGTCCTGTGTGTATCAAATTCTTCAAGCCTCTTTTCCTCATTATCTGTTCTAGAAATTTCAGCTATCATTCTCCGATCCCAAGCATTTTGTTCAAATTTTCTTTAACATTTCATTATTGTTTACATATATCAATGACACCCTTCTGTAGAACGACATCTCTGTTGCCTCAAATCTTCTCTATCTGAAGTCTAGCATTCATTGCCATTTAGGAGGAGAGATAATAAATTGCAGTTCAGCAATATACTAAATATTGTGTCATCATCAGCAATGACCAAAAGTGAAATTTTATATTCAACTCTCATATGGAACTTACCTTTCCCAAGGGTATGTGCATGTAAGAGAATATAATGAACCCAACTGGAATTCAAACTCTGCTCTCCAATTTGTAGCCATTATCTATTACACCACCCACATGTACACAATTACAGCACTTGGTATTCTGAGGCAATCACCTATCTAGGTAGTGACCAGGCTCGATATATTAAATTTGGTGATTGTATGAGAACAGGTGTTTCAATGTGATATGGCTGTTAGCCCAAAATTGAAGAGATGGCTTTCTCATGCCAAGAAGAGTAATTGCTATGTATGTATGTATCCAAGTTTTCACTCAGACAAGTATTATTGAATTTACAAGGATTATTTTAATGCTTGTTTTTTTTTTTGTTGTTTTTTTTATTAAACTACTTTTATTTTTTTATGCACATAAATATATCAGGCAGATGCATCACAGCCAAATCTGCATGATAAGGTGACTGGTTTTCATAAAAGCAAAGCATATCCATTCCAGGGCGCAAACAGTGAGGAACACCTCAAAGTCTGTTAACCAAGTCCAGTCTGGTTCTGACTGAGTGTGTTACCAAGTGCCTCATAATGACTCCCAAATCGACTTTGATGCTTCAGCCTTCAAACTTCAAAACTGGCCTCTTGATAACTGGCCATTATGCTCCCTCATTATTATTATTATTTTTAAACAACCCTTAGAGAAGAGTGCAATTTAAGAAAAGAAAAAGAAAAGTAAAGACTATGTCTAAATATGTTTAACATGAGTTCCACAATATGTCTGTCTTCTTTAAGTTATAGTTAAAAATTGCATTGATTCTAAAAAATATTTTAAAATAAATTCATTGCTTGTCGTAAGAAAAATGGCTGTACTGGAAATTAATGAAACTGTGTTGGAATGAGTCACAAAAAAATAAATGATTTCGTCTCTCTCTCTCTCTCTCTCCTGCTGTCGTAGCGACGGACACAGTCTCCACTTCTGAGACTGAAAAAAAACTGCCCTCCTTCTCATTCCAGCCCTTTCCATAGAGCTTGGTAACTCACCTATGCAAAACACCAACAAGCCAGCTACCAATCACAGTTCCCGCGCCTGCCAACCTCCACTCACTTTGGGGGTGTCAAGTTGACCGACTAATTCATTACATGACCAGTGTTTTTGGAATG